GCCAGAGGGAGGTTTACTTGGGGGCAGGGGGCTCCACGTCCTTCAGTGAGAAGTGTAGTTATTATTAGAAGGAGGCATTTAAACTTAAAATCTTAGGAAGTACCGAGTATAATGTTGCTAAAAATAATAATTATTCTTCCTACAGTATGTGTAAAGTGAGGGGTGGATTTGCATGCGTGGACGCACACTTAGAATGGAAACCATAAGTTTCAGGCCCTTTGCCTCTGAAGCAGGAACTAGGGTTGTGTAGTGTGGAATAATTATCAGGTTAAAAGTAGCAAATGAAAATTATTATCATATTTCAACAGCAATATTTCTTGTTAAAGTTTTACTTTCAAGTCTTCCTTTTCAAAGTATACAGTGTTCCTGTTTGTAAAAATCGTGCGTGGTGCTGTGTTCTGGGATCAAACAGTCTGTGCAGATATAGTCAGCATTTAACTACATCTGTATTTATATTTTAATTACCTTAATCTGGTGATTACAGCTGGAAGATTGAGAGCATTCAGTAGCAGAATTATTTTCCTGAAGTCTGCTGAAATCATAACACTTAAACATTATTATTTCATGTCTTGTAAAACTGAGATACCTCATGCGAGTCTGCAGGAAGCTGAACTTAAAGGGCCAGCTTTAAGGAACACAACTATTTGAATTTTGTTATAGAAAGGTTCAGCTATAAGAAGCTATTTGAAGGTGTTGATGGCCCGGGACAGCATTAGCTGCCAGCGTAGCAGAGGAGAGTTTGTCTTGCTGCACATACGTTTTGTACGAGCACGTCGTTTAATGCAGCGCATAGGCCTCGTTCTCAGGAGGGGAAACCCAAGGGGCTGTGCAGGGAGGAGGGCACCCAGCAGCTCAGTATTCCCGAGTCACACAATTTGCAAGTTCTTGAAGAGAAAGCAAAGCCTACCTGCAGGGCTGATGTTTGAGCACCTACACAGCTAAGTTTAGTTCCCAGCTTCATATCTTGTGGTATTTTTGATACTATTTGTAGTAAGTTAATTTAGGTAGATGAGGTGCCTTATATCATTAAAAAAATAAATAAAAGTACTAAATGCAGGATGGCTGACCAAGGTGTTCAGATGGCTGGTCAAAGTTTGCTTTCAGGCTCTCAGTCCCACCTGCAATGTGCTCCACATACGTGACAGATTTTTCCCTAGCTACCTGCCCGTGTTAGCACAGCTCTTCCCTGCGCCTCGCTGAAAGGCTCCTTGAGCAGCGGCAGCAGCCCGGCCGGGCACGGCTGGGGCACGGGTGCCCGGGCCTGCTGAGCAGGCAGGTGCTGCGCTGCCCACGCTGGAGAGGTTGGAGGAATCCCTGGGCTTCTCTCCCGATGGCCCCGTTAACCTGCAGTGCTGCTTTGCGCTTTGCTGTTGACGAAAACTCTTCTGAGCCTGCGTGTTTCCTGCAGGGGAGGAGGGCAGAAAGAGCAGGGGCTCTTCCATTGCTCAACACCCATGAAATGGGGTAGCTTCCATTGCTCAACACCCATGAAATGGGCTAAGATTTTGGATTTCTCCATGTGGATCTTAGCGGCCTAAACTTTAGTGTCTGTACATAGGAGAAGGTTTCGTAGAACAGATATTTTGTGATGGTGCTAAGTGTCACACTTGGGTTTAGTAATAGCAGTTCTTGTTTTAGGTTTGTTGTTTGTTTGCTTTCTTTGTTTGCTTCTTGGAGCAGCTAATTCAGAACAGCTTGTTTACACCAGCCTTTCCTCTGTTAGTGGCACTGGTTGTTATTAGGTGGTTAACGTGCCCATCAGACCAATCCTGGCCTTTTCCTGAACACATCTAGAGAAGGTAAAAGTAAGCGGTTATGGTAAAAATACATGTGGCCATCTGCTGATTTGGGGAAATAAATTTAATTCGGACATCTGGATGGGATTTATCAAACAGCCATCATTGGCTTAAAACCATTTCCCTTAAAGTTAATGGGCATCTCAGCTGAGCACTGGCAGAAGATTCCCACGTGCAAAAACTTCATCCTTTGCTTTTTGCGGTGTTCCAGTTTTGTTGGCCTTTAAGGCAGAACTGGGTGGTGAGTGTTTTGTTGTTGTTTTCCCAGTACAGAGATATCCTTCAGGAGGCCTGAGCAAGCAGTAGAGAGAACTGTCTGCTGTGTAGTTCAAAGTTCTTCAGATCTGGGGGAGCTCAGCCAGGCCTCCTCTGTGTTTTCTTTGGAACAGGTTCAGTTCCCATGTGCTGGGTTCTTGGGGAATCTGTTTATCTCGTGCAGCTGCAGCTGCCTGTGCCCTATTGTGTCTCCTGGGCGTGTGTTTGGTGTGTACACAACAGGCTAGCCCTGAGAGCAAGGTGTCAACTAGGCACGTGACCTACTGGTCTGTCCTGTCTTACCAAGCTCTTGACAACCTCCACTTTCTGGCTTCCTCTGGGTAGGTTTCTGCCCATGTACCTGAGGAGTTCTGATAGATCAGCTGAGAATTATGGCCTGTCTTCAGGAAGGAGGTTTCTGCTTGCAGTCAGTTGTGTTTAGTCCAAGAGCTGACAGAACAGTGTTGTACTGAAGCCATACAAAATCAACAGCATAATGCTCTACTTGCAGAAAAAAATTTATCTGTACGATCTGTAAACCAGTTGATAAACATTTTAAATATAATCCTTGCATGTTCCATGGTAGAAAAGTCAGTAAGGAACATGAGAAGAGGATTGGGTAGATCTGTACATGTATCCTTGGTACATACTTCTGCATTCATGGCTTAAAAGATAGAAAAGAAATGAATGAAATCGATCAGCTGATTTTGCTGCAAGTCTTGTCAGTATATTTGAAGTAGGAATTCATTCTGAATGAAATAAATACCGGGCTGTGTGTTGGCTTTTTTCGCTTCCTTGCTCTTCTCTCCAGTGCTTCCTCCCTTCCTTTCTTCTAGACACTGCTATGGGCCTGGGAGGAGTGCCAGAAACATTTCCCACTGCTCTCCTGTCAACATCTAGCTGTGAGCTCTGGCCAGGCTGGCTCTCGCTACCGCACGCTGACGTGCTGCCCAAAACCCGCGCCGTGTGGCAGGTGATTCCTGCATGCTGGACTGGGTGTCATTTGAAAGCAAACATTTCTTGTCCAGGTGGGGCACAGCAGTGCTCCCAGGACAGTGATGCTACTGGCATATAGGCCCTGCTTGATTAGCCCTTTTGTTCAGGGTCTATTACTTGGCCCTGAATAGGATAGGTCTGTAAATGGAGTGACTGCTGCTTTGGTGTTGCTGAATGATGTCCAGGGATCATCTCATATTCTGTAAGTCATGGTGTAAAAGATGCCATGCACATCGTTCAATAATGTGAATCACAGTAGTAAACCAACCCCCTAAAAGGGCTTTGTTCACTTGCCCCCTTCATGACATTGCCTAAAATTGGCAAAAATTCCATTTGTTACATAAATGTAATTGTATTTTATAAAAATTGCAATGAATTAATCTGGTATTTTACCCATTATTGATGTGTGTGTGTGTGTATATATATATATATATAATTGCTCTTAGGGAACAAACCATACCTAAACCATTCACTATTCCACTAACAGGTAAAAATCAGTTCGCTTTTGGCTTTACAAGCATAGAAACTCCTGTATAATTTTAGAGTGCATACAAGCTTATGAGCTGCAGCTGTAATTAAATGCAAACCTCTAGTTTATCTTTTTACTGCCTTTTCCTAATCTGAAATAATCCTATAATGCTACTTTTACAACATGATTATTAGTTCATATTGCTGTGGTCATGTGTTACAGCACATAACCATATAGTAGAAAACAAATAAAATGTACAGTGAAATCCCTTTAATGTTTGGAAATGCAATCAATCTCAGGCTGTAGAAAGCAGCATCTCAGTCAAAAAGATCTTGTAGAAAAGTGTGTTAAACTATAAAAAATTATATAACAAAACAAAGTAGAAGTAAATTCTTTAAATATTCCTTTAAAACATCTGCGTGCATATCAAGTCAAATCTGCATGCTCAGCTTAAAGAAGCTGTGAATACTGACTTTGTTTAAGAAAACTGAGTAAAAATTAAAAAGCTGTTTCATTATTGCTGAGGAAGTTACAGAATGAAGGGTAAATAACTAATAGTCATTATTAAATTAAGCACTGTACAGCAAAGCCGAAGCTACTGATTAAAACAGGTCATGAAGCATATTCTTATAGAAACAGTGCAAGCCCTCACATAAAAATAAACTGAGGTACAAAGTGCCTCTTGTTAAAGTGTAACAAACTCCCTTCAGGTGTAGCTCGTAACTGGGGTTGGCATTGTCCATGGCTAAGTACTATTAGCAATCTTCCAAAATATTTCACAACTTCTGCATTAGCAATTGCTACTGGTGTTTCAACTTCCTTTCAATCTGTTCCTTGGCTGAAGAAAATACTGCTGGAAGCATGCCAATATCATGAATTAATATTTCATTAAATGAATGACTCCTGCCCAGGACAGCAATGTTATACTAACTGATGAGCAGTGTTTGCTGAAGCTGCTTTGCTACACTGCTGGGCCGTTACAATGTTCTGAGTGCGATCTTGTGCCCTCAGATTATACTGGGGGCTTTTTGGGGACCCTGGTTGAATAGGGTGATAAAATGCAGCCCTAGAGGAAGGGAATCTGACACAAATGGATTTATTTTGTCATACAAAATTTTTCTCTGTGAGAAATTTAGTGTTCCCTGCTTTCCCTGCTGAATGGTCTTGAGCTCCTGTGATGGGATTTGTATCTGGCGTTGTGCCTTTCAGTACTCAAAATTGCAGAAGGGATTTGTGCAATCTGTAGAAAGAGATTTGCAGTTTTATAACGGTGACCACAGCTAGTTTGGTTCATGTTCAGCTTGATTGTAATGTTAATGCAAAGAAATTTGAATAAATATTATATATAAATTTAATAGACTTTTAGTCAGCAGTAGACTGGAGGGAGGGGTTGGTGTTTGTGTTTTGGTTTTGTTTCCCCCTGGCTGGGGTGGCCGGTTCTGCGGCCCATAGAGGCAAGCAAAGGCTCGGCCTGTGAGGAGGGCATGGCTGGTGCTGCCCTGTGTTTGAAGCTCTCCTCCCCCAGCCCCTTGCACTTTAAAAGGTTTTCCCCAAAGACAGCAGGCATTCTGGAGAAGCCTCCAGGAGAAAGGCCTAGATGGATGCAGCTTCACAATCCCCACCCTTGGCATCTAGCACGCAGGCTCCGTATGTTTATGGGATTTGCAGTGGCTTATCAGAGCCGCCATCATCACCTGCAGAAGCAATTCCAAACCTGCCCTGCCAGAGCAGCTTCCTTCATAGCTTTAACCCTTCCTGAGGCCCTAGTGCCAGGGCTCCCTGTGCAAGGAGCAGTGCTGGCTCCGGACAGGGAAATCCTGGAGGCTGGAGCCCCCCAGCCGCTCTGCCAGCCCCAGCAGCTCCCTTGCTCTGAGGATGTGTGAGCAAGAGCCGCGTGGAGCACTCGCCTTCGGCTGGGCACAAGATGGCTATTTACTAATTATTTCCCCAAATACATATGCCTTGAAACTTCGGGGGCACAAGAGGCAAGATCTGGGGCTCTGTGTCCATGGCGACCTTCCCCTGCAGCTCCTTGCTAGAGCTGGTGGAGCAAAGCAGCAGGAGCAGAGGGGGATGCGACGGATGCACCAGTCTGGGGTCCGTGTAGGTTTCAGTTGCATCCAAAATGACTGTATGGGCTTGCAAGTTTTAGTGTTATGTGCTTTAACTAAACAAATTAAATCCATTTTTATTTTCTTTTTGTTGTTTTTCCTTTGTTCTGAGCTTCTGCCTTAGCAAAATTGGTAATTGTGATGTTCTGTAATTGGGAAGAGCTTCCGATTTGTTCGGAAGTTTACTTTGGAAAAGTATTTTGATAACACCAGCTCTAAGTGGTGAACTCTTCACACATCTCTTACCTAAAATTTAATTTTGATTCTACTAATGCTATCTGGTGTTTATTTTTGCTTTTTCCTCCATTGTCTCAAGTAGTAATTATGTTAGAGGGTTTGTAACTGCAAGCAGCTGGTGACAGCAGTGACCAGTGGAGGTGCCACAGTCCAGGAATGCTGCTGCACTTGGCTCCTTCCTCAACTCCGCCGGCTTCTGTGAAAGCCAGATCCTTATCACACAGTCTGTTTTACATAAAACACATTGATGACTTTTACACCAGTCCTTTAGGGTTTCTCTCTAGTGCTAACCAGGCAAATTTTGCAGGTCCTCCACCAGGCCCGAGGTCGCCAGCATTGAGCTGGCGGAGCAGGGTGAGCGCCAGTGTTCACAGAAAGCTCTCGTCCAGGCCCGGTCCTCGCAGCCCACGCGTCAGACAAGCATCATCTTTGCTGAAGATATAAGTAAGTTTTAATTTCCCTGCCTTTTTCCTATAGGCAAACTGCACATCACTGCTTGTTTATGAATCTCATGGCATTGTCTAGAAATAAAACACGGGTTTAGGAGTATACAAAGCAAAAAATAGCCATCCATATGCATAATCATTTCAGACTTTCAATAGCCCTGTTTTTTAAGTTCTGTCTTTTAAAGACTTCAAATCAATATTAATGAAACATCCAGATAATTTTTAAGAAATTCAGATTTAAGAATTTAGGGATTGCTGAAAATATCTTTCAGTATGTGCTTTTTGTGTAATGTAAATACAGATTTTTGACGTTTAAGAAATGGAAAGATGTGTTTGTGTATCTGTCATATATTCTATCCTGTTAGCTTCAACAAGTAAATGTCTCACATGCAGTAATTCAGGAAGTACATAGGATTTTATGGAGCCACAGGGTAAAAAGAGTTTTTTGCAGTAGGGACCATGTCTGACAGCTGTACTGTACGAACTCTTAATGTGAAACCAAGGAAAACGTCTGTCCCTATGGGTGGAAATGATTTTTTTTTTTTTAAGGCTTAGTGAGGAAGGAAAGTGCTTTTCTTGCTTGTTTGCCATAATTGTCCTTGGTCTGGGTGTTTCTTAGTCAAGGTTGTGGCCTGGTTTCTGTTTCTTCAGTGTTTTGCTGTTCCTTCAGTGCCTTGCGTCATTGGCTTAAATTTGCAGGGCTGTTTGAGATTTTGCCACATTGATGTGGTGATTTACATAGTGAGCAGGTTCAGTGTTACTGATTTCATATCATTTTTTTTGTATCTCTTCAAGCAACTGGACAAGTGCTTCGATGTGATGCAATAGTTGATATAATTCATGCGATCCAAATTGTGTCCACAACAAGAGAACTTTATCTTGAAGATTCACCACTGAAGCTAAAAATTCAGGCTTTGGATTCTGAAGGTAGGAGATCTCCTAGTAAGATGTAAATTACACTTTCAAGTTCTATAATGTGTAATGTATGCATTATTTAAGAGAAATTGAATGTTAGAGGCTATGCTGAGAAATCTATATGGACGTTCTCTGGATAAACCCCTCTAGTATAAGGGGTAGTATAAGGAATTTTTAAACAGGCTTCTTATTTGTCTTCAAGTAAGCATGCAACAGGATGTTCAGAGAGATAGTGCTGAGGATCATTTGCTTGAATTAATATCCCTTAATTGTTATAGAAATTTTTGCTATAGGAAGGTATAATTAAGATTCTTGTGAATTAGTGCATTTGAATCAAATCCAAACTTCAGCTTCATGTGCCATCTCTAGCATCAGAATTTCATGCCTTTTTTTCAACAGCCGACTTCTCTGCAGCCTTGAACGCTCACACAAACACAGTGTTTTTTAAGACAGACACTGAGTAGAAAGCAAATGATATATGAAAGCATGAATTGTTTGTGTTTTGGATAGTTAATGACATCCTGCCCACATTTGTTTTGCTTAATCATGTATGTCAGGTTATGTACGGCAAATTTTAATAAACATTTCCTTATACTCTGTGTAATACCAGATTTTTGGCTTGATGTTCCTGCAAGCTCTCAAGCATGCTCAGTGGACAGATTTACCTTGGAAGGCATCCAAGTCAAAGTTTGAACAGGAGCAGTGGCTAAAAAACCCACAAAGAATGTTTAATCTCAATGATTGAAGCAAGATGTTTGTTAGAAACCTTAGAACTGAACTTCTGAATCTCGGTTCATGGGATCACAATACATCCATAAACTATGAAAATGAGATCCTTTTAAGTAATTTGGGGGTGCAGCTCTTTGGGGAAATTTAGACATAATTGGAATCTCTGTGATCTTTCAAGAAGCATTCCAGACAAATAGGTAGATTATTGGAAGAAGTAAGTGTTTAGAGGAAAAATACCTTTTTGATATGCAGGAGGTGCAAAAATAAGCATAAAATAAGTGTGTTTGGCTAAATGGAAATTAGGAAAAAATCTACTTAGGTTAGCTGAAAACATGTCAACACATACCTAGGTTTTCGCTGAAATCTGTTTATGTGCGACTATATCCTCAGTATCCTTTGGAATGTGTACAATATTGCAGTCATGCAAATATTTTACTGGTAGGTAAAGAGGCTATTGCTGTGTGGATATAAGGAATATGATCCATTTTGGGTTCATAGTGATCAACCAGGTTATTGTGGCTGGTATAGGTCGGTTCATTGGTTGATATTGGTACTTTTACTCCTGTGTGTATTGATGCAACTTCAGGAATAGTTTCTTTCCTTACTTTTCTGTATCTATTTTCAGAGCTTTTCTCATAAATTGTGTATACCAGTCAACTACATTAATTCAGTTTCCTTTTCTTAATAAAGGACTCCAAATAGAAGGTTAATCCCCAGCTATAGCTTTTCAGAGACTGCATGAGAGGGGGATCTGGTCTGAGGTAATATAAGAGGGGAAGATAATCTTGAGCATCTTTGGTCGATTTAAGTATTTCATCTATCACAAAGTAGCTTCTGGTTATGCAAATATTTTCTATTTGTAAAAAGAAACAGAAGTATTTAGAAAGTGTGTGTGTCTGGAGGGAATAAATAAAAAAAAACTCATATTGTGGTCAAAGGGGAAAGGACGTGACTGGTACCAAGGAAATCCTGTAAAGATGAACAGTGCTTATCTAGTGGGATTAAGAACAACATTAAGCAGCATGTGACACCCCAAAGTATGACTTTTTCCTGGGAAATTTCATTTAATCCCAGATGTCACGTCCATGTGAAATCATACTCCAGCTTGTTTTACTGACTCTGCAAATTCAAGACGTTCCTGTTAACTGACTTTTCTTGTTCCTTATTTGTCTTTTAGGAAGACAGTGTTGCTGCTTTTCATTTCTGTGTAAATCTAACTCTGTGTCTGTTTTGTAGGAAACACTTTCAGCACATTGGCAGGGTTAGTCTTTGACTGGACAATAGTAAAAGACACAGAGGCCGATGGCTTCTCGGACTCCCACAATGCCCTACGGTAAATTCTTTGACTTTCTTCTTTTTTCTTTATTTTTTGTTTGTTTGTTTCGATTTGAAAAACATGAAAGTATTTATAAATATTTCCCTGCACCCGGGCCAATTTGCTGAACTGATATGTAGAACAGTACTTATGGGTCCCTTGTTTTAGAGTTTTAGGTTTTCAACATTCTCATCTGTTCTGGATTCTCCTCTGTAGTCAATTTATCAATTGATGGTGCTAAGAAGCAGCTCAAGTAACTTGTATCCAACGACTGTAACTACAGAGATGAGACTGCTGGTCTCAGACATGTTGGACAGGGGAGGGATAGATCTGTAAACCATCACCTAGGGGTCCAGCTGAGGCATTATAGATATATAGGCTTAAAAGAGATAGCCCTAAAAGTAGCCTGAGATAGCCTTAAGCTAAGCTTTAAGCTTAGCTAAGTTTTAAATTGGAAGTGGTCAAGTGACTACCTGCAAGTTAGATGCAGCTAGATGCAAGTTACTCAATCTGCTGTCTTTCAGATAAAATAATTAAAGAAAAGCATTTGCTGAAGACAAAGTCATGGTGCTTGATTCATCACCAGTACTGACTCAAGAAATAAACTGACTGGAATTTAAAAGTGCTGTTTTTTTGTGGAAACTTCTGTGAAAAGATCTTACATTGCTTTTCAACTCACTAAAGAGAAATGAGTAGCAAAAATGCCTCCGAGATGCACTTGCCTTTTCTCCCCAGATTAGGAACACATGGAATATCAATTTTTCTCATGAAAATATTTCTAGATGTTTCTCTAGTAGAACAATAACCAACCCTCCTCTGGCATATAGTAAGGTTGTAAAATAAAATAGATTTCAGCTCATATGCCAGAGGCATCAGGCAGTTCAGAAAACAACTTACAGCAAAATTTACATGAATTGAGAGTTATATGGTAATGCAGGAAAGTGTATCTTCCTTTAAAAAAACTTTGTTTTATTCATATGACGTTTGACTTTAATGTGGGAAGATGAGCTCTGCAGTAGAGCAGAATGGTTAACAGGTAATTTTCACACTCAAGTCTATTTTCTAAATGCACAGAAAATGAGATATTGGCAGGGGGGATGCAAACAGAAGTCTTTGCTGAGTAAACACTAAACCCAATTCTGCAGTCTTTGAACAACATTGATACAGGAGCGGACGTGCTCTCACCTGAGAAAGTCGCAGCTGAGGGTTATGAGTGTATATCCCTCACAGCATCCCTGGGGAGACCAGGCAGTATACTGAGTTTTTTCAGTGGGACTTATGATCCAAGTCCCAGTGTATACAGAGATTTCTGTTTCAGTGCATGTATTTGCTGGAGATGTGACCTTAATACTGATAAACCCTCTACTACTGGCACAGCTATAACAGCATAGAAACATTTTAATGGTGTTATAGCTTCAATATAGCTTCATTCAAAATAAACAAACTGTCATTGTGGATGTTGACACCTGTTGTCACTATTACTCTGCTATTTTTACTGTGTAGGTGTGCAGAAAGCAAATCAGAGCGTGTGCATGTATAAGCTGACTGCCGTTAAACCCAGGTGCTTTTTCAGTTTCTGTCCTCCATCCTTCATCTATTCACCACCATCCTTTCCTCTCAATTGTCATGTCTCATTGAATTTTATATCAGTTACTAAAAATATTCGGCATGTAGGGTTGTGGGAGGTTTTTTGTTTGTTCGTTTCCCCATAGACATGAACTAAATGCATCTGAGATATTTTGTATTGGTCAAAGTTGTGTTCTGGTTTGTTAAGCTGCTTTTATAAATGCAAGTTGTGGGAATTTTGCATCTGTGGTTTCATAGTAATCTAGAGAGTTTTTTCAGACTACACTCCGTGTAGAATAACAGAAGGATCATTATAGACAAAACGTGCAGCATTCTGATATTTCTTTGAGTCCCACAAACAGGCTTCAAACAAACTTTTATCACACAAATTAGCTGCACATATATTCCCAAATGAGTGAAACTGGATATCTGGTCCCAGTCAGGCATCTTAAATTTGCTTAAAGTACCTGAGCTGGAAGTAAATACTGTTATGGTTTCTGCATGGTTTGACAAAGAGTGTTTAAATTTTTTCTGTTCATTTTTCAGTATACTCAAGTTCTTAGAATCTACCTATATACCTCCTTCCTACATATCAGAGATGGAAAAAGTGGCCAAACAAGGAGATACCATTTTGGTATCTGGAATGAAAACAGGCAGTTCTAAATTAAAAGCAAGAATACAGGAGGGTGTCTACAAGGTAAGAGCCTTGCATTCTTTGCTTCTGCTTGTGTCTCGTAGTCCAGCGCTCGGGAAGCAGCGTGAAGTTGCCCTGCCGTGACATGTCTGCGGTCCCCGGGCCTGGGCACCTGGCAGCCGCGTGGCTGCGGGCGCCCCGCGCAGGCGGCCGCGTCCCCGGCTCTGCCGTGCAGCCCGGTTACTCCTGCACGCCGGCGTCCTTCGTGTTTGTTGCTGCAGATTGGTACTATTACTTCTACTTAATACGTATTTTTTGCTTAAGCTAGTATTGTCTTGCAGTGTTTTAGCTATACCCTGAAAAAAGTATTCTATGAAAATATTGCCTAAGTATATGTAGTACTAATAATATTTCAGATATAATATACATCGTAGTCATATTTTGCTAGTTGTATTTAGGTTTTTTGATTTATATTTATGTGATATCAGGGTCTGATTGTGGTCATTTTGTTCTTGTTTCTTGAATGCTGAGTTAGTTCTGAGCTGGTGCTGAGTTTTATTGATTAAAATAATATCACAATTGCATTTTTATATGGCTTTCTGGTTGCTACTTCATTTAAATCTTTCACTGCTGCCACACTGAATATTTTCAACCAACTTTCCTCGAACAATTGTAATAGAATTTATGCAATTATCTGTTGTGGATCATAGTCCAGGGAGATTGATATGCAAGTTGGGTAGAGTACCTTGTTTTAGAGTGGGGAAAAGAGATTTCTATGTGTCTGAATAGCCACTGCTCATCTGTTCCAAGTATTTTTCCAGAAAACAACTAAAATTATGTTCTAGGCAGACTTTTTCTCCTTTGTGTGATATTACTGAACTATGTATAGGGGTTGAAATTGCTTCTTCCTTTTATTTACTGGAGAGACTGGCAATGATCAGGAAACCAAATCAGCTCGGGTTGTTTTTGGAATCTGCCCCCTGAGCTTTCACTTCACTTTTGTTTTTGAACTGTGGCCAGATTACTGCTACTCCATCTCCATTTCCACCTCTGAAAGCAGGTGGAGCTAGCAAGTCTTTCAAGTACAGACTGGGCTCATTAATGCCTGGAGACACTCTGGAGATCCATAGCTTCTTCATGGCATGCAGCCCTCAGTCACGTGCCAGCTCCTGTGCTGAACGAGGGTTAGGAAAGAGAGGGCTCCTAGAGAAATTTGTGGACTCTGTGGTGCGTGTTGCCCCGCGAGAACTGGGGAGCCGCCACCAGTGTCTGAGCTGTGGGAGAGCCTGGGGCGGGAGCTGCAGGGAAGGTGCTGAAGACGATACCATGATTCACAGTTTAGTTTTTTTTTTTTTAAATGCATCATCCAAATCCCTGCAGTGTTGTACTTTTCTTGGAGTTTCAGCTCGGGTGGTGGGTTCCAGCTGTGCTCGGCTCTAGAGAGCTTCCCCCAGCCCTTTGGATCCATAAGAAGGTCCCCCAGTTTCATCATCCTGCCCTTTGGGTGGTTTTGCCCTGCACTTTGCCCTCGCAGGGACAGAGTGCGACAGGCCAGAGTGCCTGCAACAGGACAGAGTGCCTGTACCGGAATTTCTTATCTATTTTTGCTTATTTTCTTTAGGGAGTTAACATGTCAGAGCAGATGTATATACCATTCATTGTCCTGCATGTATCCTTGCCTTTACAAAACAAGAGGTGGTCATAAAGAGCTTATCACAGAAAGTGTCGTGTATTTCATTTATAGATTGTAAGTTACCGCTACCCATTCATTTCAAACAAATTATTTCTTTTCTTCATCGATAGAATGTACATCCTGCAGAAGTCAGATTGCTTATTTTGGAAAACATCCTTTTAAATCCAGCATATGACATTTACCTCCTGGTAGGAACATCAATCCAATACAGAGTTCAGAAAATAAGACAAGGGAAGATTACAGGTTTGTCTGATTTTTTTTTTTTATTATTAACATTTGGTCTGAATTTATCACTTATACAATTTTTAATTGTATTTGGACAACTTTGTTAATATTTAGTATTATTTTCCTAAAGTTTGGTTATGCAGCCATTTAGACTTTTCTCTCTCAGAAACTCTGCAGAGGATGTAGTCTCAGGTTTGTCAAGGACATACAGGCAAGGGTAACTTAGAAAAATAAGAGCTAATAGTATAATTTTAGGTATGTTGATTTTTTTCACATTGAGCTAGAAATCTATATGATTTCTTAGTTAAGCTAAGTTTAGATTATCTTTTCTTGCTAACAAAGAGTATTTTCTGATGAATGGACTTGCTTTATTTTCGCCAGTGTCGTTTGTCTAACTTTACCCTGTGCTCAGAAGTCTGAGTTCGTAATTGCTTCAGTTGTGTACAAGGAGCCTGTGCTGTTAATGGCTTTCTTTTATATAAACTAGGTATGAGATGCTTTATAAGGCCTGTCTTCAGCTAGTAATATGAAATGGAACAGCAAAAACTTTCAGTAAGTTGTAGAAGGCAGCTTTATCACTTTTGAAACTGGAAATTAATCAGATGTTAGGGGTGAAGAATGGACAGTTTTAGCTGTCAGCTGTAGCTTCAATGAAGTGGAAGTTAGATGTTAGACTCCTGTGTGCTCGTATAATCTGAAATACTTTTTCTACAAAATTAAAATAACTTCATGTATACACTAGGCATCAATAAAAAAAATAATCAGCAATAATTAACAGCTTCCCAACACTGACACATTTGCTTTTATTGCTTCATATGTCATCTTGTTTTATGTACAGAATTAATGATGCCCTCTGATCAGTATGAACTGCAGCTGCAGAACAACGTAGTCGGCCCCGAGGGAGATCCATCCCGGCCAGTTGCCAGCCTGGATCAGGCAACGTCCATCGTAACTGCAGTGCAGCCGGGACAGGCTAATCTCATTCTTGGGCACAAGAGTATCCTTTGGGTCATGCTTTTTCGTCCAGGTCCTTGTGGCAGGAGACAAACTTTTCGCCCTTTACAGCACAAAAAGATAATATTATCCAAATTTGTACCAGTGGTCTTGGAAATCATGAGTACCGCTCAAGTCTTGGAAAGCGGCACAGCTGTGAACTCAGCCTCAGCAGAGCTGCCTGTGCTTTGACATGTTCTAAGACCTTAGACTGGAAGAAGATCAAATCAATCACGTCCATTCCTCTCAATCAGTGTGGGATGTGCTGGGGCTTTGTTTAATTTTTATATTTAGAGCATTATATTCTAAAATGGTGGGATCTCCTTGTCAGTGCCTTTGGGGATAGTGGGGCTAATCGAGTTTCCATTTACACTTAGTTTAAGTATCCAAAGAGGCTCAAGCAATACCAGAAACAAGCTGATCTTTGACTTTTGCAAAGCTTTTTTGTTCCTTTACTGAAACTTCAGGTATTCGCATGCAAGGGGTGTCCAGACTACCAAACAGCACCATCTATGTTGTGAATCCAGGTTATTTAGGTTAGTATTTGCCATATTTTTTTCTGACAGCTTAATATGATTTCTTGACTTTGTTCTCATGGTGGGGTGTTGGTGTGATTTCCATGCTTTTATTTTTTTATTTCTCACAAGACTTGTGTTATTTTAGAAGAATTGGCATATTCAGAAAATCAGCTGAATGTGAAAAGGGTTTTGTGGTAAACTTTTTTCCTCTTTTACCTCTATATTCAAGAACTTGCAGCAATTGTGGTGCATCTTCAGAGTGCAGGCACGGGAAGTGAAATGTTCATGTTCACGATGTTTCCTGTTTTGTAGGATTTACAGTTCACCCTGGTGATAGATGGGTCCTAGAAACAGGCAGAACTTATGAAATTACCATTGAAGTGTATGATAAATCAAGCAATAAGGTGTATTTATCTGACGTAAGTGAACATATATTTTTTTCCTGAGTGTTTATCTCCTAAATCCTGAGTTTCTTTGCCATTAGTTGAACAGTTTCTTGCTGATGTTAAGACAAATCAGGACTTGTTATTTCTTATCTTTGATTTTTTAATAAAGCTTCGTGGGTGGTTAAAGTTCACTGAAGTGTAAGTAGAAAAATGGGATGAAGCTGGACAGTGTTCCTCAAACATGCTGCATAAGCAGCGCACTGGATGTTGTAAACCAGTGTAACTGGAGAGCAGCATCGCTGCTGGGCTCCATCTCCCCTGCCCACAGTGCAAGTATGTCACCTTTAGAGGCAATCTTGCCTATCTCAGAGAATGAGATAAAGCAGGTTTACAGCACTCGGGAGTAACTCTTTCTTTTCAGTTGGTAATGGGAAAAGGTTTAATGACTCTTTAGCATTGAAACACTTCATTTTTTATAAGACGAGTTCCAGCTAGTAGGTGCTAAGTTTCTGTTACTGGTAGAATCTAAAGAAGAAAAATCTTTAGTTCATTTGCAAACATATTAATATTATTAATTATTGCTGTTCAGACTATAGTGTATCCATTAATGTTATTTTGTTTGCCCTTATAATTGCTGCCTGAAATACAGATCTGAGTTTCAGTCATTTTGCAGGGGAAGTATTTTATGGGGGAAGTAGTCCCATGTTTTTTTCCCAAATTATGTTAAGAATTACAACATCTAAATTGTTGTAAGGTTGTTTAAAAATATATAAAGGTATAAGTATTGCTGCCTTTTTTTCCATGCTAAATTACATGTTGCTGCTGTTTTTTTTTTTTTTTAAAAAAGGCTTTTTTCGCTGTGGAGCTAGTGTTGTGCTATGACTAAAATGTATGAACTTGTTGAAAGACTGTTACGCTTTCATGGGGGAAGTGCTCTTATTCTTCAACTTCATATAAGTTTCTCTGAACTAAATTACTAAATTTTTGTTCCCTCATTGGTTTGCTACTAACATCTCTATAACTATGTAGTCAGTATTAATGTCAGTTATTTGTAGCAATAAATATTTAATGCTTTAATTTTAGAATATTAGAATTGATACCAAGCTGTCCAAAGAATATTTTGAGGTTCTGAAATCATCTTTGAATGGATCATATCATTATGTGAAAGCAATAAAGAAGGGTCAGACCATTATTGATGCTGCACTGACATCTGTAGTAGATCAGGTATGTCTTTATAATAACTGTTCTGCTTTACCAGTAGACCTAAAAAATGCTTTACTTGCACATTAGTGGCTTAGTAGCTGGCAGGCTTTCTGAAAGGAAGGCTAAGTATTACATGGGTCTAAGCCATCATTATTTAAACAGATTAAGAACAATATCCTGAAATTGTTACTTTAGGAAAACTGTCAACTAAGTTGGCAGCGGATTTGCTTAAGTAAAGATTGTGGGATTTTGCTGCTGTGTGTGTGGCAAGTACCTGTTAACTGGTGGTGCACAGTAAGGACCTTTTTTTCCTGGTAGCAAGTATCTTACCTGGGCTTGTAGCACATCCTTGTGCCGGTGCAAAGGCCCTTTCACATTCTTTGGGTAAACTGTACAATTTATTGTGATAGGATCATCAGTTTCATAAGCTGGCCTTGTTTGGCATTCAGTTACGTTTGGAAAGTTTTCTCATTTAGTAAATGATATAAATTGAAAATCTGCCAAACCTATCAGCCTACAGGCTTCTTTAGTATTTGTTAACTTTCTAATAATTGGACAGGTTGCTGCACCTATGGGTAACTGGGGAAGGTGCTGTGGGAATTTGCTTCAAGCAAATTTACTTTTGCTTGGAGCTGGAACAATTCAGTGCTTCAACCCACTTGCTCTGAAATCTCCTCAGTGACTCCTTGAGTAGGATTTGGTAGAGCTTCATATATTATG